TTTTTCCGCTTGGGAAGCGCAAGTGTGCGCGAGTTTTTCTACGGCGCTTTTCTTTCGTCGGTGAGTTGGTTTTTCTTCTATTTTTAAGTTACTAAGGTGAATGGTGAGGAAACCTTCGTCTTAAATAAACATAAGCCCCAAACAAAATATAATGAAAGCAAAATAAAAGTAAAATAAAAATAAAGCTCAGACTTGGTTCCTTACACCCAGCTTTCTTTGTATAATTGTATGTATCAGCTTGTTTTTTTAAAAAAATTCCTATCTTGATTAACAAACCATGAACACTGTTGCGAGAATATATTTTTATTTATACATCTCACTTCTGTAAATAATACCAATTTCCATTGTTTTTCATCAAATTTAGATTAAAATAATCACCTCAGGAGGGGATTTCTGCCAATCAAATTAACAATTTTGAATGTTATATCCATGATTGCTTTTCTATTTAATCTCTTATTAGCTAAAACTTGCTGGTGAATTATACAGTACTAGTGCAAAAACTGAAGAATTCATCACTAGACTAACATAGGGATATACAGTAAATCTATTTTTTGGTCCAGTCATTTGGTTTTGCTCCATACATTGTGATTGAAACTAGCTTAAAAACTTGTATTTTCAAATTAGAAATGAAGCTTTTGAGAGCATTGAATATATCTACCCTCTAGTCCGTTCTTTCAATGGAATCATACCCAACATTTCTTCTTTACAGATAAAATCTTCAAAAATTATATAAATGAAATCCAGCAATCAAACTGTATAACATCTTTTGATTTGTCAAGTTGTAGGGAAAAACATAAACATTTTTTTGTTATTAAACATTTTGTTAAAATTGTTCACTTACGGTTTTCACTTACTTTTTGATATCATTATTATTGTTCTTTGCTTCAGCAAGATGGCAAATTTTAATTTTATTAGAAATAGTTATTAGTTACAAATATTAATTTTTTACTTTCTAATAAATTATTAATAGGAAATTATTAGATATTTATTTTTGTATAAAGAATCTGCAAATATTTTTCATTATAAACAAAGCAATTATAATATGTTAGCAAAAATATGTTATGTTTGATTTGAATAAAATGAAATATATTTCTTTAAAATTTAAAAATTTTTCAGAATTAGTTTCTGCTGATTCTAAAATATCGAAAACAAAAAAAGTATTTATTACAAAAGGAAGTGATATTCCTTTGAAAAACAAATGCATTTTTTTCCTGTCACTGAAACCAGATATTGAAATTACCAAAAAGAATGTTTCAGAGGTATTTATAATTTTGAATATATTTATTTAAGTTTTAAGTGCTTTTATAATCTCAAAACAATAAAATTGTCAAAATAATAAGATTTTTAAAATTATTTTTATGAATTTGATAACTTAACCTATTCTCTTATGTTAAGAATCAAAAAATATAATAATAAATTAATTAATAAATTTAAAAATAATAATTAGTACTAATGTTACACCTACAGAAATATGTAAATTAAAATTTTTTGAAACTTTTTCGAATTTTTTAAATTTAAATCATTCACCTCAGGAGTGTATATTTTATTTGTTGTTAGATTAAAAACTTTGTTAGTTAGTTTCTTGTATGACACAATATTTTTATGTTAAATTCTTTTTGATTATTTTGTAGATTGTTACATGTATAATTCATTGATTTATGCTAGCTACTGTTTTCCAATATATAGTAATTGGATATTTTCTAACAAACACAAATGACCAAAATCACTTTTATTATGCAAGTTTGTCATTTATTTGACAGCTGGCAAAGTTTCATGCAGGGTTTCTGGGCAGGAATTTTTTCCTGTCAGTTCTTGGGAATTTTTTTCATTTCTCTGTTCTTGAATCCTGAGAAAAGTTGGTTGGAAAATCGGGAAAATTGGCTCCTAGAATCCAGTAATATCTACAATGGGAAATAAATGTATTACTCACAATGTATCTTTAAGATATTTTTCTTATTTGTTGCTATCTAAAGAAGTTATATTGTGTTAAAAATATTACATCAAATATAATCAATCAAATCTCTATCAAAATAATTAAACAAAGAATACATTTCTTATGAGCTGATTGCTTATCAAAGAATGCCAGACAATTAATTTCTATGAAGGTTGCTGTCGGGAGCTACACACACTGTTGACGGGCATGTTGTCTTTTATCTGTTTATCAGTGTAACTGCACATTGCCCTATTTACATATATGTGCATCACGGAATTAGTCACTGATGTAAATTAGTATATTTAGATTTTTATTTTTGAATTTAGCACATTTTGGAGATTTCTTAGAAGTTTCCATCCGAAAAACAGACACTGAAAAGAAAATAACTGTAACTAAAAATAATGCCTAAAACAAAAAATAATGATCAGACTTTGACTCCTTACAGTGTTTAAAGGTTGTTCTGTAGCATCCATGCATTCTAATAATATATACTATGTATATATATACATATATACACTGTATATATATACTATCCATGCAACAGGGATAGTATATATACCAGGTTGGAACTGCATATCTGGTTGGTTTATACCTTTACAGAAGAGGGTGAAAACTGAGGGACTTCTGAAAGCTAATTGAAAGCATGGGCTTGCCGTGACATTTGGTGACAGAGAAGCTGTGTTTCTGTAAGAAGCCGACTTCCAGGGGCAATCAGTCAGTGATGGTTTAGGGTCCATTCGTATTCGTTTGTTCGATAAGCCAGTAAAAACTGTAGACTTCTTTACATGTATTTTTAATTAATAGATTATCTAACGCACTTAATAAATAAGCAAGTTCAATATAATTAACTCTGTTATATTAGATTTAATAGATTTTCTATGCCCTCTAAATGCCAATTCTCGCTTCGATAACATCTAATAATTAAAATATAATATATCTGTTAGCTGTAACTATCTCATTATAATTTTCAATANTCATGTTGTACGAGGGTTTTACCCATTTCTCGAACCGTGTCAGAGTGAATCCGTGCTATAGAAGTGCCGTGTTATACGGGGGTTACCTGTATTTTGCAATTATTATGCTGTTTTGTCTGATAGCAAAGTTTATTTGCTTCATCTGGCTGTAGTCTGAAGACCATAAAGTGCTTCTTATGCTTATGAGTACTCATATAAGAATGTTTTATGCATGAGAAATCATATATGTAAACAGTAACTCACATATGATTTTACATATGAATAGTGTGTTCTTATGAAAGTTATTCATAACTGTAAACTATTTTACTGTTAAAACTATTCATTTTTTTTTAACTTCCAAGTTATTTTGTTTTACAAGATGTATCAGTTCCGAAATAAAGTCTAAAGGTATAAAAGACAGTCATTTAAAAGCTGAATACATGATGGAAAATCACACTGAGCTTGTTAGCTGGACATAGTTGCTGCAGCTGTCTTTGAGCTGTTGTACACATCTCACTGTAAAACAAAACAAGGAATGCCTCTGTGAAAGAATTCACCGATTTGCTGTTGGAACCATTGTTGAATGGTGGCTTTCACATAATTGTCAAATGAATCATTGTCTTTGAGGACATGTTCCAACTCTATGAAAACCAAATGGGGACATGTCAGGACCATAGGGGTTGTCCTGACATGTCCCTATTTGGCTTGAGCACTTTGTCTGCATATATGGCATGGACACTATTGGCATTGTTTTAGAGCAGAATGATATCCTCATAACAGTTCAGCATATTTTGACACCACAACTTCATAAGCATTTTAGCATAGCAGTCAACATTCCCAGTTGCTCCTTTCTTGAGGAACTCAATAAGCAGTGGTCCATGTCGATTGAAAAGCAATTGTAATCATTATCTTATCCACACTACATGGCCTTGGACTTTTTTAGTGGTGGAAATCAGTATGTTTCCATTGATGGCTCTGCCTCTGTTTCAGACTTGTAATGATGACACCATGTCTGTCACAATGTGTGACATAAATACATCACCTGTAGCAGATGCTGCAGAGCAATGGCCATGCAGTAGCTCTTTTGACCATTATCAAGTTTATGGGGAACTCACTGAGAACAGATTTTTCCAATACTGCAGTCTGTTGGTAATGATGTGATGGATGGTACTGTGACTTAGACTTACTAGTTCTGTGATTTCGTCCACAGTGAGATGTTGGTTATCTGAAATCAATTCTTTCACATATGCACAACCATAATGTCCACAGCTTTTTGTGGTTGTCCTGGCTGGTTGTTATCACTGAGGGAAGTCCAGCCCTGTAAGAACCATTGTTACTACATGTGCATTTTTGTCAAGCCCATGCAATAATCACCATACACTCTTATCATCTGCTTATGCATTTGCCTGCTTCCAACACTTTCTGCTGTTAAAAATTCACAACAGTGTGCTGCTTATCTTTGGTTGTTCCATTTTGACAATTTGATGACCAGTATACTGCACCTTCGATGTTTGCATACACTATGCATCACATGATACATTATGATAGATTATCAGTTAGTAGCTTTCTTTCCATGGAACAAAACTTGCCAGGATCACCATCTGTTTCTACAATCATATGTTTGGTTTTTAAATGACTGTATCTTATAAAACTAAGTAATTAAAAACCATTTCTCTTGCAATAAAGTTTGCAGTTTATGTTTGCAATATGTCACTACTTATTACTTTTTACTTGTTTTATTTGCAATGTGTTACTTGTTGGGTTTTTTTCCATCTTAAGCATTTTAAAAAAATAAATGGCTTGTAAATAATTTTTTTGTGGGTAATTTAAATATTTCTCCCATAAGAAGATATATTTGTTTTTCAAGTTAATGAAACTTATTACAAACATGCAAAACTTTTATGAAAATCACAAATAATTGGGTGTTGAAACCTAATGACTTTGCTTACATTAAATTACTATGTTTGAACACTTGTTTGATTCTTACAATGTCAAAAAGTGACATTTACAATGAGTTTTCTATGAGGGTTTTCATAATTTTGAATTAGGATGGAACATGAGTGTTATCTGAAATTAGATGATGTCTCTGTCCTTCACTTCTATTTTTAGTGCGAGTGCAGTGACCAGTGTATCTAATGACCATGGCTATGGTAAGGTTAGTTTTGAGTGACTAGTCAATCCTGTATATGAGCAAAAAGTATAATTAGATAAAAATGTTTTTTCTCTAAACTTAATTTTGTAAATAAAATTTAAACTTAATATAATAATATAATTTTTTTTATTAGTGTATTGTTATCATGAACCAGTTTCTTGAGAAAGGACCTTGCAGAACTTTATTATTTTTCTATGAAGAATGTAGTAAGTGATTTCTTAATATTGGAATCCACTTTCAAGATATGATAATCATAAGTAAAGTATACAATATGTAGCATTATTTTGCATATGAAAATTGATGTTTTTTAAATATTGAACATTAGTAATATCATTAATTTATTAATAAATAAATTTTGTCTTTTAAATAAATGATATATGATTGGACATTATATTCTTTGAATGTTCTGTCTAATTATATTATGAGTAGTTTTTATGTGTAGTTTTTAGTGACCAGTTAATCCTGTATACAAGCATTTACAAGCAATAACATTATACATGTCATCACAGCAACCATAGTAAAGTTTGTATTGTGTCCTCTGATTTACAGTCCATCACAAAGAACATGTTATGACTCCTTGAACTCAGTTTAAGTCTGTTTATTTAACAGTTGTGTACAATATACAGTAGAGCATTGATTATCCGAAACAATTTGGGACTGGGGTTGTTCGGATAATCGATTTTTCGGATAACCGATTATGTAAAAAAAATATATTAACCTATCCCATGTTGAAATTTGTTCAAATCCTGGCATATCCTTAAGTACCCTCACATGGTTGCACCAGTGCTGCCAGCTAAAACACGCAAAGCAACAGAAATGATATTGGAGTAACATAAGACATAGCCAACTATTTCAGCACCACAGCACTAGCAAAAATTTAAATTTGCCATCTGGAACACTTTCGGTTAACTGATGTTTTGGTTGATCAATATTTGGATAATCTATGCTCTACTGTATATACAGAAATATATCTTGCTTGTTTCTAACAACACAGTCTTAGATCAGGCTTGCTTCTCCCCATTCCAACAGTTGCATTGCTTATATCTAATTTAGATCCATTGGTTAATTAATCTGGAGCTGAACTTTCTATTGGATCCGACTTGGTTGGCATACCTGCCTTGACTCATCCAGGATGACTTGCCAATGACCCTTTCCAGAAAATATGCTCTAACGAGTGAAAACTTGACTTATCTTGTCACTACATGATAGATCTTCTTGACA